TGTAAATTTTTAAGCAGCAGGATATTTTTACTTTAACTCTTAAGCCAGCTTTGTTTGCAGGTCTCCTATGATTTAAAGTTAAAATGCTCAAATCTCCAGGCAGTCAGGAGCTATACTTTGAATTTGGCATTTCTGCCAAAGAAACTCCAAAAAAACCCCATGAATAGGCCCATTAGGGGACTTAAAGGCTTGCTTAAAAATTGAGTCTAGTCTCCTTAAGAAGTCACACCTTGAACTTTCATCACCGCTGATACTCTTTTCACACTTAAAATCCTTATGCCATCAGACAACCCTTGGGCAGATCAGTCTGACTAGCAAAGCTTGTGTCTTCAGCCAAATCATGCAAAAAGCCTGTCAGTATAGCCCACTCCTCACTGTAAACAAAGCTGAATTAATCCTATTTATTTGAGACACTGGAAGGAGTTCCCCCCTTGCAGGGGCAAGTCTCTATTAAAAATCAGACCACTCATAAAAGAAACTTTTCTACCCATTTTACAGGTAGAATTAAGATGACTTGGCCTGCCCAAGCCCACGAAGTATGCCCAAGCACACTATGGAGAAGCAGAATTTAAAGTTAATTCTTTGTAGTTCAATGTAAAGCTTTTGACTACAGGTAGATGTTTACTCTTCAACAAATTAAAAATGTGAAATACAAAATGCTTGAGAGAATCCCCAAACTTGTAGTTGGTACAACAGCAGCAGGCAGATTACATAGTAGGCCAATCAGCTGCATAACATTCCAATATCCCTATCCTCACACACACACTAATAAATGAGCGCAGGACTAATAACAGCTATGAAGTGCAGCCATTTCAGTGACTACACTTACTGTCTTCATCCCAAAAGAGAAGCCTACAAGACCATCCAGTGATTTTTTTAGAACTGGACACTGCACAGAAAACCAGATTTTCAGGTCTGAAAAAAACCCCTTAGTTTCCAGGCAAGTATTAGTACATACACAGAAGCAGTCAACTAGGTGTACAACTGAGCACACAAATTTGCATATGTGCTCCAACACCTCAGTAATGCAAGTATTTTTCTTCCAAAGATAATGAACAAAAAAGCTAGTCATAAACTTGGTGACATCTGTAAAGAATCTACAAACTTTATGAGGATGTTGTTAGGGAAAAAGCTAAAGGGCAGCAGTGCTCTGGCACATAGGAAATACTCTTCATGCATAGAATAGTGAAATTATTTCTGGCTTCTGCATTTTCCCTTATGAAGAGAAACCGTTTTTTGACCCTTGCAAGTAGAGCAAATCATCAACAAAAACCCTACATACTGACTTACCATTCTGAATCACTGACAAGACTGACTCAGTTGTAACTGAGCAGATCTAGAATGAAAGTTTTAAAAAACATGCAGCACTACTTGAATTCTGCCCAGAGCAATTTAAGACTTCTGCTACAACAAGTAGTGAAGAATTGATTAGCCAAAGCTGACAAATAATTGCAAAGTGATAATCTGCTGCAGTGAGCTTGGCTTTTTTTGGTCTACTCTCTAGACCCCATCTGTAGCTTCAGGAAGAGAAGGCAGCAGTTACAGTGAGCTGTGAGAAAACAAAGACTCTGTGTGGGTGTATCAGTCAGTCAACACTGCTGAGCACCCAGGTCATATCTGCATAACCCAAGAGACTCGCAGGAAATCAACAGTATATACAGTTGCTGCTGTCCATTATCTTCCCCCACTCAGGTGGCTGAAGATTAAAGCACTGTTCCTGTGCACTTAGGGGATGCAATTACAACTTTTGTGTGGTAGGTAAACCTTCTTCCTTGGCAAGTGCATCCTGTTGACCTCTCCAGTTGCATGAAATCAGCATTGTTATGTATTGCCCTAACTTTTTAAGGCATGCTTTAATGCATTTCAGTCACACCTATTTAGAATTCTATTCATTATTTTTATTTGCCTGAAACTCTTAGATTTTTTCTGCTCTCTTCAAAAAAGTGAGATTTTTCCTATTTATTCTCTAAATCCCAGAACTCTGGTCCATAGGGAGTAGAACCCAGGTTGTCAAACCTGATAGGAAATCACCTTACACTTTACAGCAAGGGCAGAAAAACCAAACTCTTTGCACCCTACTGATGTAACAACAGGTCTGCCTTTTCACCAGAAAAACTGAACTACAAGCCATTAAAAAGATTCAATCCCATTAAAAGCAAAGGGACGCATGAAACACTTCAATCAGTTTAATACTGTTTTTATGCTGTAGCTCACAAGTGTTAAACGCAGAAAAGTTATAGCAAGAAGTAACATCTTCTTGCATAACATCTATGAACAGTTCTCCCAAACATACCTCAGAATGACTTCCTCTTCTTCCAGAGGTTTTCAGAGTATATCCATTATTACTAACAGCATGAAAATAACATCCTGACAGGGACAATACCATCCTATTTTCACAGTCCTTTTATTTTCACACTTGAAAGAATGAAAATTATTGCCACGTAAGTAAAACTCAAATCCCACTTTCGACTGGGGGGATAGATGTGTGAACTCCATGCCAGTGAAAGGTACTATTTTGAGCAGCAGCTAATGATTTAGGCAAGTAAAAAGACCCCTCACTGTTACAACAGCAAGGAGAGAAAAAAAGTAACGTCTCCTTCCTCTACAAAGAGGAAATCAGGACAAAAATGTATCTTGAAAGCATATATATGCGAGTATTATATATTCAACACAGAAAAAAATACAGTTAGGATGGATTTATTTCTGGGAGAAAAAAGTGATGTTTCTCTTAATGTCCTCATTTGCAGGAGTACCAGATATAAAAAAGTTCCTTTCATAAAACTATTGAAAAGTGGACACTGCTACACTTACCTTCCTGCTAAAATGAAACCAATTTTAAATAGAACAATATACGCAAATAAACACAAAGAGAAGGCCTAGCCTGTGAAAAAAGTGAAAATAAAACAAAAGAAATGCTTATTTCAGACTTTTTTCCCTAGGATCTGAAAAATATATTCCAGTTTCTCTGTCCCATCTCTCTATAGCTCCTTTCTTATGCCTAATTTCTGAAAATTTTCAGTAGTATCCAGTGCATTCTCTCAGCAAAGCTACGTGCAACAGCACATCTTTATATCCCACCTGGGAAAAATCTTCAAAGAATGAACATGAACACTTGCCTTTCCTTCAAACTACTTTCACCATTACAGTCAACTGCTTATATTCATATTCAATAAGAAAGACATACTTAAACATTTTCAAATTTACGGTAGTATTAGGCATCTCTGCACTTCAGTTTTCAGTTTTCCCAAGTACTATTTGTTATTTCCCTGCACAAGACCTTATCTGATTTAAAAAATTATTTTTGCTTCTGAGACTCATAACCACATTCCATAAATATACTTAGAAATTAAAGAATATTGCTAAAATTTATGTGAAGTAAAAATGAAGTAACTTACGGCCTATCTTGATAACTCAGCATGGGTGCATTTGTAATCAATATTTGGTTTTTACATGGGTATGACTTTTCATGCTGTCTAAAAAAAGGTAAGAAAAAGGACAGCAGTGACCATGTTGAGGGAAAATAATTTGATTTACACAGTGCCCTTCATTGTTCAGCTGTCCTTAAGCACTTCATAAAACAGCAAGCCTCCTAGGTGTACTACCATATGGGAAAATACAGCAGCTGTTCTGCAAGCTACAAGAGCTCACCTATAACCAGAGGAATCTCATCCTGAGAGGCTGCATGCCAACGCAAGCCACTCAAGAAACATCTACTCTGTTTAAGAAAACCTGGGGGTATAATTTTGCATGTACTTAGAATTCTTAAGTATAAAATAAAGCATGGAAAATCAGCGCTGTAAGTGTATGCTGGATGCAACATGTCTCTTGACTACAAAAAATAAAAGTAGCCCCTAATATCTGAGGTTTACGTTGCATTTGTCCTATCGCACTTAAACCCTGCATATAAAACAATGCAAAACTCTATGCAGATGGGAGAACTTCATCTCCTCTAAACTGCTGAGGCCCAGACTGAAATCTCCAAAGTGACTGGTACTTGTACACTAAACAATACACTACAGGAGTCTAAAGAAGGGAAATTTTATCCTAAAATCAGAGACATTCCCAAAGGTGAAACCTTTCTTACTAAAAACTTACTCTTTATAAGGAAAAGTTAATCCTCTCTGGCAAGCCACAGCCTAACTTTTGCTGTTCTTTGTCTTCCATTTCCACCCTGTGTCAGCAGCGCTAACCTTCTGTTTCCGTCATGGGACAAAGCAGACAATGCTCACCTTTGGTCTCAGTAACAAGCTGGATAAAGCTGTCTGTCTATATTATCATTTCCTCTCTTTCTGCTTAATAGCTGCCTTTTTTGTCTTTAATGAACACTGTGGCCAGACATAATCCTGCAGTAGGAAAAAATGGCAGATATTTGTACAATGAAAGCACAAAGCTCAGTTCTGTATATTTTATTAATCTCGTCTCCTTGAACAAATAATTATCACAAGTATACACAGTTCTAAAAATGGAAGCTTTCCATAAGGAAAATCCTTCCTGTGTGGTGAAACACACAAGTTATCAAAACAGGATGTAGAACAGAGAGCACACGTGCATCCTTACTTCAATTGTTATGGCATTAGTCCTTCCTAGTCGAATTAATCTTTGGAGGAATGTTGTATTTTTTTTAAAGCAAGCATGCTCTGTTCCTAACTCTATGAAGCCTGCAGAGACAACTGGGCACAAAAGTAAATGCAACTCAGGAAACAGTCACCTATCAAAGAACATGGTAAACTCCTAAGCCTCTTACATAAAGATTACTGTCAACTTCAAACGGATTATAGTCAGGGTGGCCAGAAAAGCCCTGAGACAGAAATTAACACCCAATGGTTCAATTATTCCAAAATCTGGAGAATGGGGTTGAAGACAACTTATCTCTCATCTCATTTGGCACACCTCATGTGTGGAGAAGAGCAGCTCTTCAGTTCTGAGATTCAGAAACAAACAAGCAAGCAAGCCCCTCCTCTTCCCTCTGCTCCACCCTACACAGACATAGAAAGGAAACATTCATTTAATAATGGCAGAGTTTATTTACATTAGAGAAGGTTTACACAAGTTGAAAAGTTGTTTCAGCAGGAATCAACAATCAGTGCTTTTGTCCATCTTCAAACAAAGGGATGATTTTTAAGATTTGATGATGCACGTTCAGAAGACCTTGATGATCACTTGGGGAAAAAGTACCAGGAATCAACTAAAACAAACAAACAAAAAATAGAAGAGTGACATTAGTTCTATAAAACTAGTCATATATAAACACTTGAAAAAACAACATTCTGCCCTTTCAGCTACCTTCCCTCCCATAACAATACTGCTATGTTAGCAGTATTAGCTGTGTTAACTGTATTCCCCACCCTGTGAAAAGCATGGCCTCAAAATAGTATCTGTTCATTTTAACAGTTTGGCTGTACCAGTACTGCAAGAACTTATAACACTGTTGTGACCATCCCTGGAAAACATCACAGATTAGGCAGATGATGTTCAGTTGTCTGTCAGAGGTCTAAGATCTGATCCTTTAGTAAATAAATGCTATTTATTGGCATGCCATATAAAGGCAAATGGAATGCAACTTGCTTTCCCATGACATGGGCTACACAGATGTTGCTCCTCAAACACTTTGGCATTTGGCTCATGACTAAGTTTAACTTAGTATTTCTGTAACTCTCTCCATCTCAAAAAGCACATATGTCTTCTCTGTAGTTCCTGCCAGTAGAAAAATCTTTTTTTAAAGTAGTTAAAATTGAAAATGTAGGATGCATTCTTATTTCTTAAAGAAAAACACATGTTCTGTTAACACGAAAAACAATTGTAGCAGTGAAAGGATAAAATTTTGTCTTTAGAACTTACACTTGAACATTACGTAAGGTTACTGCAATTTGAGGAAAAGGAGCTATTTGATTAGTTACCTACTGTAAGGAATGACAAAAAACTAAGGCAAAGCAACCAATCTCCTTCAAAAAGGATAAATGTCATGCATTTGCCTTGCATGATCAGTAAGAGAAAATTTTTGTCTGATCATCTTTTTATGTGGACTACACTTTCACTCAAAAGTAATCTTCTCCCAGAAAGCATTCATAATTTCTGTTCATGTTCTATTTAGCAGAAGACAGGCAAAACCACATGACAGGATATAGCTATTATCATTTTCATACACACAAAATTGCCTTTTTGCACCAAAACAGTTTTCATGTCAATTTTTAAAGCCAGCAATTAAGAGAAGTCATATGACATCTGAGAAAAAGGGTACCTTCTGGTGAAACAGGATCTCCATTCATAAATGCTGGTGCCTAAAAAAGAGAAAAAAAAAGGGAAAAAAAATAAACCAACATCTCAGTACTTAAGGTTTCATAGAGAGCACCCATATTCACTAAACCAGAATTTTCTGTTGCCCCCACAGGACAACAGTCTACCTTATAGATTTCATCTCCACTGTACAAATTTCTTTGTTGCTCATATATGACAAAACAAGCACATGAACAATGAGTGATAGATTAACACCTTACCTAACGCAATGGGGATTTTTGATGACTGTATTACCTTTGAGAATAACAGGATTTGTTGCTAACATCTAAAGAGTATAACAACTAGAAAGGTATTTTTACATGTTTCACTGTCAGGTATGCATGTGAATACATACACACACATACAATTTACATTAAATACAAGCAAACCATTTAAAATAAATGTGTGATGATACTCTTTTACAATTCCATGTTGACAGAATAATTCAGTTCTGTAGAAAGTGATTATTTGTTTTAAAATTCAGGTCTGGCATTCCAAAGCTAGATATGCCACTGTTCAATCACAGGAGTGCACAGCCTGTCTTGTCCTGTAATTTAAAGGACAAAATTAAAGACACTTTTAACACATCTGGAATCACCCTGCCTCATGATCAGGATGTAACAATTTTCCACTGCCTTTCCACAGCACAGCAGCACGTGGGCTGAGCTGCACTGGTGTGACACAGCCTTCCTGCATCTGAGCAGGCACAGGGCTCTAAACACTGAAAAGCAGAACAAAGCTCCTGAGGAGGGAAGGAAGAAGCAGGATTCTACTTCCCACCTATCCACAACAATTACCTGCACGGGGGGTTATGTGACTGGTCTGAAAGGAGGTACCAGTATGACAAACATAACCCAGATCCTATCAGCAGAATATCCCCTCTGTTCCCAGCAAAACCCAAGCTTTATCTCATAAGACAGGGAGATCCAGAGGTCACCATTTATAAGCAGGTGCCTGCCACTTCTGCTGAAAAAGCTTAAGATAAGGAGTACTTTCCCATCATGACTAGATCAAATTCTCATCTCACTGAACCAAGAATCTCTTCACTACACAACACTTTCATCTAGAACACCATAAAAAACACCAAATAAAATAATTAATTAATAAAAACAAACTTCACCAATCTCTTGTTTCACAACTGGCCACTACAAAAAAATCTACCTTTACTAAATCCCAAATGGAAATGTTCTCACAGAAAGTGTGTGGGGAGAAATGCAGCAAACAAACTTTCTTGCTTAGATCTGAATTATTTAAACACATCAATAAATATACAGATTCAAATTTGGTTGGAGATTTCTTTAAATTATCAGGAAAAGTCAAATATTTTCCCCTGTAAAACACTGTTCTGCATTTTATCAAGCAACAAGCAAATCTTTCCTAGCTCACTTTCCAGTCTTATAAGAAAGAATTATGTGATAAGTTTGAGAAGCATTGTTCTACTAACTATATATAGATTGTCTTGGAGATTTTCCAACTTGCAAAGTCCTCAGCAGCTTCTTCACAGAGCAAGTAATTCTTAGGATTAATATTAAACAAAGGCTTGGTGGTTCTGGTCAGTTTTACAGACAGCAACACTTAAAAGCCTGAAATAAACAGTGTATCTTGGCACTAACACATTCATTACAAAGCCCTATGACTCCTGGGTTTAGTGTGCAACATATACTGACACTGGAGCTGAGACACAGATGAAACAACTCTCAGAGGCTAGAGAGCACCAGAAACGTTCACTACGTAGTGATAAATTCATCTAGATTTGTTGTTGCAGGGGTCTGGTGTAATTTTGGCTGGTTCAAATGTTCAGTATTTGCTCTTAAATGCACAGGTTATCTTTTATCTCTTTGGAATTAATGGTCATGGCAATTTACCTGCTGGGGAATCATTCTTAGTTTGCCCCCAACATGCCAACCATCTAGAAACTGCCTCAGTGGAGTGGAAATTCCCCAACCCAGACAAGCCATTCTAGTTCCTCATCTGTAAAGTAACAAAAGGTCAAATAATTCTGAGAACAAATGGACTACCTCGGGAACCACACAGACAAAATCTATAGGAAATTCTCATTAGTGCACCCTTGGTAAGGATTTGAATGTTTTCTATTTGGTTCTGTTATAGTTCTCTTGCTCACCATGAAAACTTTTCCACAGCAATAGTGAGTGTTGCCTCTTGACTTCTGGGGTCTTTGGGTTTTTTTGTTTTGTTCTAGGGTTTTTTTGAGAACTCAATATATCTGATTTAAAGCAATAATCACTTGCTCAAAAATGCTGCAACTGAAATCTGACGCTGAAAAAAGAATTGTAGCGAAACAGCTCTCACTGCAGAAATAGCTCAGAAATTTTGCAGTAGATGAAATACATTTCTCACTGTATTTCTCACAAGATCTGCTTCAGCTTTCATTATTTTGTTTTTATCCAGGACCTAATAGATGGATATAAATTAGAAGAAAATGTGTCTGCTTTTAGTTTCAATTCAAAATAAAAACAAAACACCAAAAACCCAAACAAAACTCTCTGCAAACACAGGCAGCTTTCATTTGAAATCACCACAGCCATTAAAATTCTGCAGCCACCACTCACGTACTTTCACTTCAGTGTGAAAGAGATGAATGTCTGACAACCAAAGCATGCACTGTAGTGTATTAGACAAAAAGATACCTGCTTAAAATGTGCAAGTCAACCTCCCTGCTTATATTTAGAGTTCAACTGTCCATGATTCCTATCTCAAGGCCATTTTACTTTTTTAGTTATTGCAGATCAGCAGCTGCATGCAGTATGAACAGCATTTATAACAGAGTATTGCATATTTTCCCTGTCTGGAAAGCACCAAGAGGCAGCACCCTACAAAGATGTAATTAAAATACTTAGGCTGAACTGAAACAGAATGATGGAAAGGAATATGTGGAAACAACTTCACAAAAACACCGTCACTTAAATGAATGTGAGGCACAAAAAAAGGCAGGAAGTCATACTATTTGATAAGAAGGGAAGCTTTCCAATAAGAAAGGCATTACAGTTTGATACAAGGTATCTATTTTATGAACTGATTTCACTAACTTCCTCCCCTCCCCAAAAACCACGGGAAAAAAAAAAAGATTTGTTATTGAGAAACAAAGTAAGACATACTGCTGATTTAATGATTATTTACCCTGCATGCCTCAAAGTACAAAGAGCAGAGAATGCAAAATATTTCCTCTGCACATTTGTCACAATTCGAATATATTTGGACTTGCAGCTTTAGTTACATATAAAGACTCATATTTATTGTAAATTTGGAAGTACAGAGAAGGTAAATACTTGCTTATAGATGTGACTGACGTCTAAAATTATATTTGAATTCCAAAAAGAGTTTTTCTTTCATTTAAAATTTACAGTCCCATTAATCAACATTCACAAATGCAACACAGAGATGCCTTAAAAGAAATGCTGAAAGCAAGGTATCTGAATAGGAAAGAGTTTGGTTTTACACATCTTTATGAATTAAACCAACATTTCTTTCCAATTGAGAGTCTCATTTGCTTGTGACACAACAGCATCCAGGACAACATATTGTTACTAGAAATGCAGTTGGAATGTTAACGGCACAGACACTGGACAGCGTGTCCTTTGACACCTGAACTTGCATAATTGCTGTGACTGGTGAGGCGAAACACTGGGTGCCCTGGCAGCCAGGCACACGTGCAGAGTACCTCATGTGGTCATGAGCGCAGGCTCAGTCACAGCCTATGTTAGAAAAGAAAAAGTAGTACTTGGGGGCACGTTTCTCCATGTAACTTCTGGTAACCTTGCCTAATTTCTGGCATCAAAACTAGTGTATTTTGAAATGGAAAAAATTCTCCTCCACTAACATTTGCACATGAAAGCATAAAACCTGCAGGATATTTTTCTTGCCTGAACAGAAAACCTGCATGTTTTAATTTTATGTTAATTTTCAGAATATGACAGGTATTCTTTAAGAAACATTCAAATAAGCATCCCTTCTCTTACAGCATTGCATTTAATTATGCAAGTAGACAAACAAAGGGTCTGTTTAGTGATTAGGGACTACAGTCAGCTTGTCAATGAGTTCTGACACTGGGTGGTAACTCATGGCAACAGGGGAGACAGAGAAGACAGCAGGCTAGATACAAATAGCAGTCCATCTTGCTATTCAGGATCAGAAGAAACTGCACCACAGAAGTAGAAAAAATGAAAGAACTCCACCAGAACAGTAATGAACCTTCCAGAAAGCACAATTGGACCACTGCAATGAAAGGTTTATATCACAATGCTTACATTTTCCCCACAACCTTTCTGCTCCTCCTTTTACGTAAATTTTTGCTTAAGGAAGGACCATTTCAATTTAGCTGCTTTATTTCAGTTTTGGAGCTCTGAACAGTCTTTTCCAATTAATCATTAAAAGATAAAAGGGGTGAAAAAAAGTAAACATCCTTACTGACTGCACAATCGATCGGGCATCCTCCTCACTGCAACAAAATGGGCTGCCACTCACCAGAATATTTGTGCTGAAAAATAAAATTAAAAACCTGCTTTATCCATCAGTGGAAAAGAGCCACACACAATTCAGTACTTATGGAAAAAACCCACCATCACATATAGAGCTCAGAAATGTGTATCTGCAAGAGATGAGGAAGCGAAAGCCACAAAGTAAGGCTGGAAGGAACAGGTGTGTGGAAGGGTGTTCTTTGTTTCTCTGTGTTTGAGGAGGTATCTAGGCTGCGCATTCTGTATTAATGCAAGCACTGCTCACACTCAATGCCTCTGGCTGCTAGCTTGCATTCAGTGCAGAGGAGCACAGTGGAGAAGCTAAATTCAAGAAGTCAGCAGAAATAAACTGGCACTTCCTGAAGGAGCTGAGCAACACCTCGATGGCTAGCAGAGATGATGCGAGTACACCCCATCTCTTGTGCCTTGCAAAATGGCCAGCAAAGCATGGCCACCATGGAACTAACAGCAGGTTACTTGGAATGTAACATGGAATCATGGAAGTAACAGCAGGTTACTTCAGCAACCCACCTGTAGTATCTAACAAGAAGGAAAAACAGGCCAAAATTCTGCACCTACATAAAGCAGCACATACCTATAGTATTTCCAGACAAACTCTGGGACCACATCCTTGGCAGAAATGTTTCCCTATGAATCTGCATCCTTGCACACCAAAAATTAGTTTGATCATGAGTTTTTAAGGTCCTACAGAATAAACTGCACAAAATTCAATTCCCCAAAGCAACAGAATGAACAGTGACAAGAGGCCCAAGATTCTCCCAAAACAATTCTGAACAAACACTCTGGGACCATTTCTCAACAGCTGAAGTAATGAATGTCACATCTATGTAATCAATACATTTCTGGAGCCACTTACCAGTAAATCATCATCATACAAGGAGCAATTAGTCAATCATGCTTTATTATCAATTAATTATCAAACCCATTAATATTCCTGTCATCTCAAATTAAAAAAAAAATTATCTAAGCAGCTCATGGACAGCTGCAACTTGTTGAATAGCACCAGTATAGTACAATATGAAGAGCAAGAGATGTGACTGGATACATACCACTTTATAGCACCTCCATCAACTTTTTTATGAAGCAAAGCTTTCCAGTGTTCATGGGTAGATTTAACAATTTCAACAGCAAAATCCTAGTTTACAACAAGGAAAGTTTTGTAAATTAAAATGTTATTAAACAGAAAAAAGCCAGAGAGCTGGTTTATTAAAACATACTATTTCCTATGTTATTTTAAGGCGCCTCCGTTGAGGCCTCGCTAAATTTCTGGAGAATATAACACCCTTTTTATTTAAAGAAACAAACTTCACTGTTTATCAGATATATTGGCAACACATTCAGGACTTTCCCTCAGTCTGCAGCCACAAAACATGAATACTACGTGGAAGAAATGAAATCAGCACTAGATGCTACAGAGATCCTTACTGCTGTAGAAAACTGAACCAGGCTCTAAATGGGATGAAGTGCATGAGCTATGACTCCACCCTTACAGATGCAGGTCACTGTTTGGGTTTCCGCTCTAGAGGCATAATTTGCATTTACTTTATCAGTGCCCAATCATACACTTAAGCATTTGCAGGAACATAACATGTCAGCTGCTTAACAGTTTCTGCTTGTTTGAAAGAAAAATAATATTGGGAGTGGGGCTGGGATGAAAAAGCTTCCAAAAATTAATGTAAAATAAGCCCTCGGTGTCCAGATGATGACAGCTAGACTTGCAAAAAGCTGCCAACTGAACATTCACATTTGTTAACAAGGAGTGACTTGGAAAAGTGCCACTGGAACATTGTGAACTTCACCAGAGCTGCTGGAGCACAGCCACAGCTGCCTCATCACATCCTGGGTCTCTAGAAATGTTTGAGAATTATTCAAGTGCTCCAAACCAGCTATCTCAGGGCATTTAGTGCCTTCAGGCTCAACTCCAATGGCCCGACAGGGATACACTGGTCTACTGTCACTCTACAGTGCAGGAGCACCTCTAAGAGCAGTTCCTGGGAGAACAGGGGAGAGATCAGGTTATCATGCCTTACAACTCCACAACTGATTGATTTAAAAGGCAGTTTCAGTGCAGAGGGGAGTCAGGGCATTTCTTTAACCAGACAAAGCATGTAAAGCTGCCTGTGCTGGTTAGAAGGCATTACATAACTTTGACAGCACCCTGCAAGGCTGAACTGGCCGACACATGGACATCATTCATAAGAAACTTGTGATTCTTTGCCAAGAATAATCTACACAGAGCATGCAATACACAAGTTGCAAAGCAATTTTACTCAAATCATATCCAATTTCTCTGGAAAAATCCAGGTATTTCCTTCAACAAAGTCTATTCCCTAGTCCGATCTCCTTTCAAACACTGGTCATTCTTACTGGAAGTAGTCTAAAAAGCTGGTTTTCTGAAAAAAATAAGGTAAGTAATTTTTCAGCCTTCAAGCCAAATGTTCCAAATGTTTTTACAGAGATTTAACAGAAAAAAGTATGCCTTGAGCAAATACAAATTATGAAAAAATCTGTAACCCATTGTCTTAAACTGCATACCTTAAAAACAAAAGTTAGAAAATTTTACCAACAGGACTACAGAAACAACTGAAAAGACAATCTATTCATTACTCTGACACAGAGAATGAAAATGTTTTAAAAAACATCTACAAACACACAGATGCATGTGTAAATCTCATCAGGATTAGGACTAATTTTTTTTTTCAGACTTTCTTTACTGACCTATGCATTTTTCCGGAACAAAATGGTAGGTAGAAAACATTATATAATCCTAGCCTAATAAATTGTACACAGAAGTCCCTCCCACCAAAACTCTTTTCATTAAGCTTCCTCCTTTACAATTTCAAAAATTCTAGAGTCCATGTAACAGAATGATGTAGTTTTAATTTTGCATTATCTTCACCTTGTTTTTAAATTCTCCATTAAAAGCAAAGTGATTTTCTGGTTTACCATCAGGGACTTTATATAATTGGAACCAGTCAATTGTAGCCTCAAGATAACCCGGTTTGTGCTTCTTGACATCATCGATATCTGTAGGTTAAAAAGATTAAAAAAAAAAAGAACTGATCATTTTCACTCACAGGTTTCAGAACATCAATTTTTTAAATTTTCCTAAAGAATCTGCAGCAATTTGATTTCACTGAATACTTTCAAAGTCATTGGTAAACTTTACTTTATTACATTAGCTGCCCATAGTTGCTAGCTTATGATTTCACAACCACACTAAGCAGGTAAAGCAGTCATCTCTTGCCCTTCATTTATTAAGAGCCAAAGGTACAATGAATAAAAGGACTATGTTTGTGAAAGGAGAAGAAAATCCCATCTTTATCTCAGTAGGTAGCTCTTGCAATACTTAGATTATTCACTGACACAATTTTTTCTTCCAGCAACTGCAGGGCCTACGAGCCTTTTTTGATCATGGAAGAATAACTATAAAAACAATTTAAACACATGGATCTTTAAACCAGGACCTCGTAACAAAATACAGGCTTGACTTGTCAACATTATATTAAAAGTCACCTTTTTGCTCACATTAGTCCCAAATTCATCCCCTTCAGGACATGACAGAGACGTGCCAGCAGCTCTAAACACTAACTTTACTGATAACCTTTACTGATACCTGCATACTCACAGTGACAAACAATTCTACCTCTACAATCCTGATGGACAAAATGTGACAGGACACAAAGAGGAATGTACTCTATTTGTGGGACACCCTTGTGAAGCAGAGATGAACACTACCCTCGTGTAGGCAGAGAGATGAAACATCACAGTAATTCAGCTTGAAGACTATGCTGCCGTATCAATGATGCAGTTCCAGATTCTCCACCCCTTACCTGCTCTGCATATCAAATTTTAATGGGCTGTCTTTGGAGACAGCCACCACTTCTGTCACTTGCAATGGCATGGCCCTATCAACCCCTTAACAAATTAACTCCCTGGCAACATGTTTACATAGCGAAAGCTTTCAACACTGTTCTAATAATTTTGATGTCATAAAGGATTTCGTCCATCCCAGAAGCCAAATGTGATCTTCTATTTCCTTTCCACAGTCACTTCTGATGGAAATGGGAGCTGACCTTTTACTGCTGTAGTCTACCAACTATTCCATAACCTCACTCTGCTCAGGCTATCTTCCAAGGTGTTACTCTGCTCTAGTGTTTTGCAAGTGACTCGCTCATGTCTCCCTTCCTCATTCCTTCTTGCTCTCTCAACTCTCCCTGGTTCCCTCATTACCTTCTCCCATAAGTACGCCTCACATGATGGCATCTGGTCAGCAGTGATTTCTGCTAAGATGCTCTTCTGTCTATCCAGTCCTATAAAATCAGAGTTGCTTAGTCCATGGAATTGATACCTAGTCATATGCTTTCCATCTTCAAGTGGCCAAATGTCTTTTAAAATTTCACTGTGAACCTGAACAAAGACATCAAACTATTTCTGAAGAGAACAATAAGTGAAGAGAAAAGGTCTTGTGCTACAGACCATTCAATTCTCAGTAGACCACCAAGAGAGATGACATGTAGACTGAAGCAGGAGGCCAGACCTATGCCTCAGAAGACATTCTGAGTGTTAATAGCATGTCATAGATGCCACTGCCAAATTCCACTGCATTTCCACTACCCAAAGAATAAAGCATGAAACTCTGAAGAAGCCCATGTAAATTTTTGCTTTGCACACACTTTACAGGGCTACGTGTTTACGGGCTCCGAGTAAGACACATTTTGAACTTGGCTGCTGGCCATCTGTCTGTAGGCGATCAGGGAATTTCACTGGCAGAATCCCAGAAAAAAGCAAGGGCACATAAGGCTGTGCTAGGTCTTCTAGCTGAAATACGTGTTTAAGAGCACAAAAAGCTTCTCATTAGGGTGGGGTGGGTGACACCAACCAAGAAGGAATGATTTAGAAAAGGGTGGGATCTTGGTTGGAGGATGAATGCTTCACTTGGGCACTAATAAAACTGCAGCTCCAATTCAAATCAGTTTCAGGAACCCAATGTATCATCTTGTTCTCTCCAAGCAAGAGAACGTCCCTCTTCCAACTTAAAACATTGTCATCTCCTCCTCTTATGAAGTTTGAATTCACATCTAACACTTGTTGAAGAGACAGTATCTCCTCAAGTTTGTAAAGCAAACCAGGCTGCTACAGCAATTTCCTTGGCTCCCAGCAGCAGACAAACTCCAGACCTCTATCTCTAGACACTACTTAAATTCAAGCATACTTTCTCACACTGCTGCTCCTTTTTTCTGGTTCCTATTCCAGCAAATGTCTCTCCTAACTCTGCTTCTCCACTCCCACTACTTGGTTATTTGCCTCCTACTCCCATAAAAACTGTTCATCAAAAGTGCTTTACAGTCTACTAACTGGCACTTGGTACTTTTCTCCATCTGTTGCCCCTTATTTATACGTTTTATTTACACTTATTTGAAGGACTCAAATATTAGGATAGGCTTTGAGACAGACTTTCATTATGTCCTTTTGTTAGAGATTCTATCTTCATGAATAGAATTGTCTCCCTGAATTTCACCTTGCCTAAGTAAAGTGACTAAACACAATCATACTACAGCATAACATGGATGGATTATACTCTGGTTTTGAGGACTTAAGAAGGAGGGCATTGGTTGCTTTTATTTCCTGGGTTCCTTGCAAGTTATTCTCCTTCATCCCTCTGCTTCACTTCACTGTTCTTTACTATAAAAGACAGCTACTGAACATCAAATGAAATTTGAATGCTTGATTTAAAAAAAAAAAAGACTCCAGAACATCTGTATTATAACGGAAGTTGGTGGCAAGCAGAAGAAAAACATGCAACAATGCAACAAAACAAACCCCAGAAAAGTATCAATGCTGTTGCTGTGGAGTCAGCATATAATACAAAATACAAGGAAAACAGCAGCTCTTGCATCACTCACTCAACAGCCACCTCTTCAGTTCATTAAAAGTCACCACAGAAAAACCTGAAAGACAGTTTGTCTTCCACTGAAATCTAAACAGCCTCTTTGGGATATCAGGGGGGAAGGAAAAAAACCACATTCAGAAAACAAAAAAATAAGCAAAGAAAGGTAAAAGAGAAGATCCCACTAAGCAGTACAATAATTTACTACACTAATATTTACAGAAGATAGCTTCAAATTATTATGATTTTTTTAAAAAGCAAACAATTTAAATGTCTTTTCTGCAGCAAACACTGTTAAGAGAGTCTTTTTTGATGTTGACTGCTTATCTTCCCTCACTGTACTCACACTGATGTTAAAAGGGGCAGGTTGGGGAGCAGCAAGTGTTTAGGAGGCCCAAAGCAGTTTGATCTCTGCCAGCAAGCCCTGCTCAAAGCAGCAGAGCAGGTCAGGCTCCTGTAGTTATGTTATCAGCAGGTCCCCACGGGGCTCTAAGTGGGAATTACTCTACACTGCCATACAACCATAGGTCTCATTTTTCTGGGCACCAAAGTTAAGTGCCAAGGGTTAAAAAGAGACAGCCGATCACATTAAGGGGTGCAGTTCAGTGTCCATAAGGAAAAACCCTAGAGGCTGGCACCATGAACTGCTGCTACCTCTCTGTCAGGGGAGTGAGCTAACATGAATGCAGATCCTAATTCTAACTGGCTTTACAGAAGAGAGCAACAAAAGCATTTGTACAAAACTACCATTTTTAGTACAACAGATGCTGCTTCTAGCAAGCAAAGCTAAAACATGTTTGCAGCAAGCTTTCTAAACAAGGTCTGTGGGAAGAGAGGACATATGTTTTTAATAACATCTTATAAACATTTACAGGAAGCTGCAGCTACATTCCATATAAAGGCATTTGGTGTATTTTGTGCAAGGGGTAGGAGGGGAGACTTGGTACAGCAAATTAATTTCTTTATACTGGGTGCTTACACAAATCCACAACAAAGGTCTTCTGGGCCTCTGCTGCTTCTCTGTGAATAAATATACTCACATGTAAAGGTCTGTAACAATATTTAGTACAAAATATACAACATGCCTTAGTTTTGCCATTTAGGGTTTGATCACTAAACCCTATCTTGAGATGTGTATTGTAAAAGCAGCATGGCAACACAGCACAGTTAACTACACCAGTGTCAGCAAAAGGTAGCACAATAAAGCCAGCAGATACCACCAACTGCTGTTGAATAGATCCTGGCATCTTTCCAGTGAGCAATGGCAGCAAAAATGGCTGCTAAGATTCCAGGCCAGTAAATCACCTCCATAATGCCATGGACTAATACATGATTAGTCCAATTTGCTGAAGGAGGGCAAGATGACCTTTTGAAAGCCAGACTTCATACACTGCTTCAAACACAGTTCCTGCTTCAACTGCCAGTGATTTTTAAAACTTCTTGTCCAATATGAAGATGCCACATACATTTAGACCAAATCACAGCATAAAATTGTCACTCATCCCTTCTGAGCCCAAACTAGAAAAGCATTAGATATACAAGTGAACTCTAATATATCCAATATATTAAATTCAATCCAGACTATGAGATAAGCAGACAAGCAACCTTTCTACCACAAAAATTTACTTCCAACAAAATAAAGAAAACAACCCAGCCTATTACACCACCAAGATTTAGTGTTTCAGTCTGCAAGGAGGAGCTTTTAGGTCTTTTCTCAGAGTTGTTTGGTCTAATGTTGCTCCGCTGGTCTACTGACAGCCATCTGCCTAGCAACTGCCTGAGCAGAAACACAACAGCACAAAGCCAGATCTTGATGAAATAGTTGCTTTTAGACTCCAACTAGACACGATCAGATTTATCTTTCTCACACAGATGCCTGCATCTGACATACCACTTGTATTTGGTGAGAGATTGTCCCTATGCCCACCAGAATTACGTGCTATTATTTCAAACAGATTACCTTACAAAGTCAGTCCAAAAAGACACTAAGACCCTGCTATTCCTCCTGATGACACAGTTGCCACTTAAAACAGATGCTAAGCACTGCCTATCATTCCTGGGTATTGTCACTGTAAACAAGAGTTTCTCACTGCTCTGTGTGAAACACAGAGCTCTAGGCAGGGTTTCCAATTTAAACCAGTATTTATCAATAAATGCCTGCACACACAGTCCAGTGGAGTGCTATGAATAAACAATGAGAAGCACTCTGAAGTTGTGACTTCTCAGTTCTGAGTTCTGTGAAGTCTCAGAAAAATCAATTGCACTTATGAGAAGGATTGCAATCCCGGAAGGAGAATATCCCAGGTACCTGGTGTGTGCTTAAAGAGGCAAGGGGAGTTAACACACAGTCCAGGCTCAGGATGGGGTTTGCAAGTAATCACCACTCTGGTGTCTTGAAATTATCTTTTCCAAATGTTCACTGGGGGCTCCGCACATACTGAGCTGAAAGCAAATGTGATGATTCTCAGTGCAGTTGGAAATCTTTAACAAATGATACAGAAGTGACTGGACAGGATTAGAAGGCAACACTTAGCCTCATCTTCCCCAGGAGGCCACCTCCATAACACAGCAGCACATCAATTACAGAGGGAGAGACTGGTTTTATCCATAGCTGCCATCCCTTTATGCTGAAATAATTAACAACTTTGGGAAGGGGGAAAAACAAGTATAAAAGGACATATTGTACTGCCTGCTCTGACAGATTTGTTTGTTTTCAGACTGAAGAATGATTGCTGTTAAACACTGCAAGCCAGTCATGTCTTCTGAAAGCAGACAGGGGCTTTTTTTTCTTCCCCTTTTCTTTTTTCTGTAAATTTTGGGCTGCAACTCCAATCCCAAAGGGAAATCATATTAAACTGGATAAGTAGCTCTACACTTCTTTGAATCTCAGGACAATTCTCTTCTTGAAGTTTTGCACATATCCCTGATAAGAAAGGATGCACACAGGAATCAATTACAGGCAATGGTTTGCCCATTCCTCCTACTACTTCTTCTTCTTTTTTTAAGACTAAAGCTCTTACTTCTCCCCGCCCAAATAAACGAAAGTTGTAACAGAGCTGATATAAATCAGTCATTACCTGGGGAAAAACAAAAACAAAACCAACCAAATAACCAGAGAGAGCTTTCAAATACAGACAGTTAACCCCAAATAATAAATAATAGTGGAATAAACTACCACAGTTTTGCCCCTGCTTAGTGGACTCCCCTTCTGAATTCTCTCATCCACTTTTCTGACCACGTTCTCTCAGAAATTGCCAGGGAGAAAAGGTAAGTCTTTAAGCAGAACAGTGCCTAGAAATGAAATGCTATTCACTTTTCTTTTAACTACTGACACTTATATTGCATTTTACTGCACATTACAGAGTGGTTTCAATTGATACTGACATTAACAGCAAACTATTACTTACTCTTTCCTTAAGCTGAACTTCTTAATCTCTAACTGTCAAAGTAGTTAAAGAGTCATAAACACTATGCAGTAATTCATCTGCCCAATGATTTTAATCAGCATCAACCCAAGAGTTTCCTTTTCCTCATCTCTTCTTCTCCCCTTCTTTCCCCACAAGTCAAGTATTCTCCATGTGAAAGTAACCTGCAAGAAAACTGAGAATGAAGGACTAGTCCGGTGATATACTTTACATTCAGAAACCATGAAAAAACCTCAATGGCTGAGAAACACACTTCTTTAAAAAGCAACCGGATTGGTCTATTCCTACAGAAAGGCTACTCTGCACCTTGGTGCTCCCTTACCAACAAAGAGCAGGCTCTCACTGTACATACCTGATGGGATATATGGTTTCTGGTTTCCTAACAATCAGTTTTAGACAAACCTCACTTAAGACTCATGATTCCCAGTAATATTCCATTTGAGGAAGCAAATCTCCATCTAGCCAGAGAAAAACTGCACTTTACCTGCGCTATGAAAACTTAAGTTCCTGCAGTTTTAACACATCAGAATGACACCTCATGTGCTACTCACATGGACACACTTCAGTATTCGAGTTTCATTTGGATACCACAAGTCTGATCACAGGGAGGACAAGTTTCAGCAGGATATTCCCCCCAGCACAGCTCATCATCAAGGCTGATGAGGGTAAGCTGCATTAGCAGTTTATTTTGCCAATTTTCAAGCTAAAAGGTGAAACCCAATTGTTCACACTAAGCAACAAACTCTGGAAGCAATCCTCTTAAAAGTGGCAAGACATTGGAATGTCTTGCCAGAATGCAACACAATGCCTGTAGATATAAAAGGAACAAACACTTTCAAAAAGGAAAACAGTAGTGTGCTACATAACATAGAGCAGGTAAATATGCACTACCACACAATACATAAGCCTGTAATTATTGGAGGTCACTTTCTAAGGCAGTTGTGTTTCAGGAGCCAAAAAACTTTCTGCATGCCGTGTCCCTTTGAAAATCCAAGCAAACCATTTTAGAAGTTTAGTGTGAAAGCATATATGTCCTAATTGAAGGTTGCACCTGACCTAAAACACAACCAAAAATAAAAAAAACCCAAAAACTCAAAACCAAACAAACAAAAAACCCAAAACAAACAAACAAAAAAGTCTTGCCTTTCCACTAGCTGCTTCTTATCCTGGGAGTCCTAAACTCAGGCACTACTCTGCTGGACAAGTTTCTGACATTAATGCATTAGGAAAGACAAAAATACTTGCCATGGATTTTCTGAGCTTCTGGGTCATCTGCACTGATGGCAATTATCTTCCAATCTGTCTCTCCTTCATCAATAAGACCTAAAACACCCAAGACCTTCACCTGAACAATCTCACCAAAAGAACGAACCTGAAACAGAAAGTAATGCCACAAAGATTTAGAAAACAACATGTAAAACTTCTCTTTTACCTTAAAAAAAGTTTTACATTTTTGACCAGCAGGTTGTAACAAAATTGCAAGATAGCTAGAAATACTAAATAGATGTGTAGTGTTTGCAGATCTTTCTTCCACCGTTACTATTCTCCAATCCTCAATTCTCCAGTCAGCATTTAAGTAGAAAAGTAGATAATTTTTTTTCATTCCCTTTTACCCTAGTTCCCCCACACTTTGTTGGTTTTCCTTCCAAACTGTAAGTTAGAAGCGTCTCATACTCATTTTTTAACTTCTTCCTTTCCCTTGACTCTCTACTTTCTGAACTCAGGGTCCTATTTTTCTGTCTTGCTATTCCTTCCTCTGGACTACAATATACACACATAAACACACAGCACTTCCCCAGAAATACCAACACAACCATTTTAGCATTTTCTTTGGAACCTTCTCCCTACCAGCAAATATCTCCTCTTTAACTGTTTCTGGATCCCTTGAGATTAATCTTTAGGTTTCTTACCTCAAATAAAGCCACTTTCACTGAAGTCATTAATTAAATTTCCCCATACCAAAATATCCTAAGAGATCCCTCTTTCAAACTCATCCATTTCATAACGCCATTTTCGATACAGCATTTTTCCATTCTTTGCTGCCTCTAGATATGTAGAATTTTCTTTCAGTGAGCTAAACCTTTCCTTTATACCTACTAATGCTCCTTGCTGCACCTCTTTTTCAGCTATCCATTCCACAACTCATAACTCTGCAACACTGCAGCAGGTTTCTGTCTTCTCTAGAAAAGAGGATCTACTTCTTTTAGCACCCATGAGTAAAATCAAAACTACCTCCTTTGTGGGTCTAACTTTATAATTCTAATATGCATGATGCTGTAAATTTCCTCATTTTTCAGCAACCTATTCCTAGCTCCAATACTGCTAACAGGGAAAAAAGAAATAAATCTTAACTGTCACTTCCTTCACCCAAAACTTACTGTCCAACTAGACAACTTCAGGATGTTGTTCTTTTATTTTCCCTTTTAACCAGTATAAACTTTACCAAATCCCATCTTCCCCCATCCTTTTTAAAAATCCACCATTTTCTCACCTATTCTCTCCTTAGATCCTCTATTGATACTTTCGTCAGTCCCTAACATTATTAACACATCTTGTTTTCCATCTGACCTTTTCTTTCAGAAGTTGCTACCAAATTATTATGTTAACCTTGATAAATTAAATTAATCCTGATAAATACAAACCTTTGAACCTATTTCACAAACATCAATAGGATCATTATCCCCACAACATCCTGTAAGGTTATCCGTATGGTTTGGATCTTCCCAGGTCTGCCAGGGAAAAGAGAACTATCAGTTAGCTGCTGAACTGCAATTACAACTCATCTTACCACTAAATTACAAAGATTAGCAAAAGTAACAATAAAAACATCAGCTTTCTGAGAACAGGCTTGCTCAATGGGAGGAGCAAAAGTAAACAGCCAGTGGTCTGACACTGAGTAACTCATACTCAGGACAAGCGACATGAGGATTACTGAGGACATATTTTTCCAGTGTCAATGACTCAACAGATACATTTTACCCACTTGCAGTGATTAAGGCATCAGAGGACCCTGACTATGGATTTTTCTAGTTACTAGTGATAGTGGAATCAAGCTAGGACCTCTTACAATTACATTTTTGTTATACTTATTACATACCATGATATTAACATAAATTCTTTTCTACCACATCTAAGCTTTGAGTGAACCACACTCCTATGCATATATTTGTCAGCACCCAAAAAGCTTTTTAAAGATTTTAGATTTAGGTATGAAGTATTTCTGAGTATTTTGAGACATGTACATTCCAAAGGACAGCTAAGAGTTGAAGACCAAAAAGGAAAGTTTAAACCCTTGCTCTGAATACTACACAAGCAAGGAATCCTAGCTGAGTTATACTAACTTAATTACTACAAGTACTTGTTTCTACTTTTACAAGTAATGAATAATTCATCCTACAGTTGAGAAGTTTTTCTGTTAAGAATTGTGAGTCCAATTAGGTGTTGTTGAAAAGATTATAGAAAACTTTTTTTCCAAGGAGCTACGCTGCTAGCTTCTACGGTCTGTGACTATAACTCCACCCCAAACTTGCTCTTGAGAACTTGACTGATACTGGAAGGCAAAATGATGAAAAGAATATGTTTAGGTAGCAGAATCATTACCAAAAAACTGCTGAAGTTAAATCAAGAGAGATTTTAAAATTTATATTTACTTTTCCAGTACTCTTCACAGAATGAACTAGGTTGGCTGGAAAAGATCTTGGAGATCATCAAGTCCAACCTAAGATCTAACATCACCTCATCAACTAAACCATGGCACTGAGTGCCACATCCAGCCCTTTTTTAAACACCTCCAGGGACAGTGACTCCATCATCTCCCTGGGCAGCCCATTCCAATGCCCAGTTAGTCTTTCTGCAATTTTTTTTTTCTAATGTCTAGCCTAAACTTCTCCTGACAAAGCTTAAGACTGTGTCCTCTTGTCCTTCCAAAGTGCTTTTTATTTTGGGCTGCATTATAGCAGTATTTCTCTTCTGCCCAGTCACACCTCTTCACCTCTCAGTTAGAAGGAAGGAATAGTATTGTTCTCTGGACAGCACAGCAACTTCTGCTATGATAGCAAATAGTCTAATACAGAAGAAATTAAAAATGACAATTATGTTCAGCCCTTCCCAGCTCACCAAGTAACAAGGGATGCCAAACATTTCTCCTGAGGAAAGTATTCTAAGTCCAAAATAATGCACTTTTTGCAGGAAAATATTTACATTTTCAAATAATTCTGGCTTTGAACTAAGGAACACACAAATTTCAAAACATTAAATGGAGTTGCTCGTTTCCAACTACACCTACTTGGAAACTTTGTCTACTGACACTGCTGACTGGACAAGATTTCACTGCTGTATTCAAGAACCTGCCTAGCATCTCCTCTCCAGGGATCAAACATGTAAGCAGATTTTTGAGACTCAACTTTCATTGCTTATACAGTTACGTGCAAAAAAAATAAATTACTCTTTTCAAGCTCCATCATGTTCTTCAGTACTAATGGAAGTCTAATGTGTTATTCACAGAAATGAAAAAAAATTCAAAGCTTTTCATTATACTCAAAATTTCAGCCATTAGATGGACTTTTTCAAGGCTCAAAGTTTTCAATGTGTCATGATCAGTAAAGTCTCACAGTTCAGAGAAATGTTAAGGAAGGCAGTCGAGGTTTAATCTAAAAAAGAACAGCCCTTGTGTTCCTCTTTGTTAAAGATACTAAGAAATCCCAATTAAAATTTAAGCTGCAATACATTAAAATCTTAAATGAATTTTTAAATAAATGCTTTGTTTAAGCAGAAAAGGTCTACTTGACAAAATATTCTTGAATGGCAGACCATGACAATTTAGTTCTATCAGTACAGTACAGAGGCATAGACTAAAGATCTGAGATTTCTTCATCATTTAACTCCTTCCTGAAAAAACAGCTCCTATTTATTCCCACACCCAAATTCCGATCAAAATTTATGGACACAATAAAGTTCAACATAAAAAAATCCTAATTTACAAATGTATCAAAGAGAATCACCCCTCTTGCAGCTGATTTGTATTCAGGCAGTATCCAAGATTTACAAGGCAATTTACACAGAAGACAGAAAACTTTCACCATTATAACAAAAATGTTACCTGTGGGAGGGCACCATAATTCCATATATAACCCTTGTGAGGAAAGATATTTGCCACATATCGAAGCTTGCCTTTCTTTGTATCATGTTTAATGGGATTCAATGGCTCCTCTGTGGCAATCTAAGCAGATCATGAAAGAGGGTGGGGAGCAGGGAGAGGAAAAGAGAGAAGGACAATGTTAAAATGGAAAGCAATTAATTCCATACCCAACCAGTGAGAAAGATCCATCTGGCAGCACAAGTTTGTGGTTTGAGGACTATTAAAACTACTATAGCCTCACTCTGAATCTCAAGGGTCATATTCAAAAAGCTGCTTATTAAGGTATTAAATAATGCTGTAAAGTATGCAAGAAAAAATGAATCTAGAAGAGAAAGTAATAAATTTCTAAGGAGGCTGTCATGGTCAAACAAAAACTGAAAGGAACTTAAGTCAGAAGCTCTTGGGCTTTATGGTACAAGTTCAACACACATGCAAATGGTGGCACAACATCTTTCAACAAGAGGAGCTTTGACAGCCACAGAGGTAATGTTTCATGTTCTTGCCCTCTGCTCCTTGCTCTCCAATTGCAAACACCCCCTTTTTTTCCATCACCTCTCAGCATACAAATGCTTTTCCCAAGCACAAGTTCCTCATAGTCAGCAAATGCCAACTTAATACAGATTTGGAACAAGTTAAGCTACCATTTAAAGAGGGCTTTCTTATTCCAAAAGAAGCACTGACAGAAAAGCTGAGCTACAGCTGAACAGTAACATCCTCCCCCAAAGCCCATACACAAACCACACACATAGAGCTACTGCCTGAGGTACCCACCACAGCTAATCTGCACTGTAACCACCCTTTGACACTCCACACCACAGTCCCAACCCACCAACCCACGTTAGCTTGGCTCTTGCTTACAAACACTCAGCTGAGCGGCAAAACATTTGTTACAGGCTCAAGTGATTACACTCAAGTGGTGCATAGTTTCCCTGCATGAGCACACAGCCCTCAGCCCATATCCATTTTATATCCCTGGCCTTCACCTGAAGCACCATCACCAAAGTCATCTCAAAGGAATTCCGCCTTTTAGAACCACCAACCTCAACAGCATGTACTCATTCCAAAAGCAAACCCTCCCCAAGAGCCAAGATGACGGTTCACACGTTTCTGGCTTCACACTGGATTCTACCTGCTCCTGGTCATAACCAAACAGTGAAGGGCTCAAACAGCCATCTGGGACACTGATGGAAGTGGAGCTTAGCAATGCCTTTTGTTCACAGAAACTGGGACAAAGAGGAGTAACTGAGGGCACCAAGGGAAAAAAAACAGAAATAGAACAAGCTGAGGAGCAGAAGATCTGTAGCAGGAAATGTAACAGTGGGTAGATATTCATACTAATGCAAGGCTTAATGTCCTGAAGTCTCCATCGCACGTGAGGAGAGATGAACAGACAAGATCTGGTAATAGCAGGAATTAGCAGCTTACCATGGTCGGGACTGAAGGATTGCCAGGACACAATGGCAATGCAAGACAACTACCTTAATTGATGCAGCAAATTTTAAGGATATTAAAAGTTAAATATTAGGAAACTACATCTAGTCTCCTCCATCCAACCCAAAAAGCCTAAAATCAATGATTTCTAAACCTAGCAGGACAAACTTTTCTACTCCTGACATAATGAGAAGCATAGGCAGAGCACCCTGAGCTTTAGGCAGAGCTCAAGTAGCACTGTCAAATGGATCCTCTGCAAAAGAGAAGTCAGCTGCCACAATAAATCATGAGCTTAAAATAAACGGTAAATATCTGAAGTAACCCTGCTTGAAGAGTAATAGCTGCAATGGCAAACACAGTTCTATCATCAGGGAAAGGAGAAAAAAGTCTCAAATAGCAGGCTAAGAAGGTTCTTTGGAATTATTTTCAATAATTAAAAGAGTTAACAGCTCAACCACGAACTTCCTTAAAAGCATCTGAGAAGCATGCCTAAAATTAATACAAATGTTCAGGAAGACAGGACATATCCTGGTGAGATCTGTTGTTTCACAAACACTACAAATGCTTTTACTACTTGTAAAATATCTCCCTGCAGGAGTTCATACTTTCAATCAGTGAAGTCCCCAAATATTTTATTTTGGTCACAAGGAAATGCTCTTTTAGTTGCATCTCCATTTGTTGGGATTTGGCCTAACACACATACAGTGGAAATGATGAATTAAATAATCTGAGTGGAATGCTCCATAAGCAAACAGAGTCTAAGAGTTAGTCTAAATGCTGGAAAACACCCTAAAAGTCAGTACTCCAGGACTCTGCTGCAGATATGCTGCACTCTGCAGTGAGAGGGTTGTCAAGATGCAGTGCCCACCTGCTTTTCCCGCTTCCACCAAGAAAACAATCAGTAGCTCAACGCTTTCTGTAATTGCAGGGAAAGTGTATGCACCACTTCAAACCAATTTTTTAACAGATAACATTTTAGTGTGCAAGGAGCAATCCAAACTGTGATTACATTCTGCCTACTGGAAGCCACTGCATTGTTGTAACTTCCACAAACACCTATATAATCAATGTATTTTTCTTAATTACCTCCATTTTTGCGTTGGTCCAACGAGGCATTTCTACAACCATATTAAACAGGACCTAAAACAAAAAAATAGTAACAGAACTGAAAATAAATTCCACTTGGCAGTTAGTATTTTACAATAACACAAATTCTCTCCTGTGCATTCAGCAGCAACACATATCACATTTCTGTGTTACAGCCACTTTTATTTGCACAGTTCCTTTGTATCAACCTCCATGGTTCATCCCTTCCCTACCTCACCCTTTTAAAAATAAGGACAACAAGAAGCAACGGAAATACTCCTGATGTTTTTTGTTCCCATGTCAATATCACCCTTCACAACATGTTCAGAATGTCCATGGAATGGTTTGCCATGAGGCAGAGGTTCAGTCTACTTGTCAGAGAGGATTGAATGTTTCTATAGGACAGAGTTAGCTTCCCTTAAGAAGTGGAAAGGACAATGTTTTCAGTTTTTTCCCCCATGGATTTATTCCTTCAGGCCCTCCTCTTTTGCCTTACTATTTTTCAAAACTCATGCAAATGACACTTCTGTTTCTCTGTCACATCTGGTTCAAGCGAGATGATACTAATCCAAAAGTGATGGCAGAGGAAGGGCATGGACACAGCTCACATTTGTGTTAGCCTTTCTCACAGAAACAAAGTGAAAAGTTTTTTAAGAAGGTGGTGTGGGAGGAAAAAACCCAATAAACATGTAAACTTTCATGCTTTTAGAAGAAAAATAAGCAGACCACACCTTCTTACTGAGGAGGTTAAAGCAACATTTTCCAAAGAGAAAAATTCTGTGTAACTGCCCTGAGATTTCTTCTTATGAAGCTGAGTTAAGCCCTGCCAAGGAGCAGAGGACTTACTGAATTGGGTAACTAGAACAAACATCAAGCAAGGTCTACAGCCTGTTTTAGACTACCACAATGACCCAAAAAACATCACATTGCCTGGGACATCTCTTCACAGCCAAGGAAAAATCATACTGGTATTAGCAATTGCAACAGGTCAGGAAAGACAAAATATGTTTGTGCAGAAATTCGTAAGAAAAAAAATGCAAAGTTGAACCAAATGAAGACTTGCACTGATACTCTAACTACACCACAATTAAGGCTCCAGTGAACCCTTAAATATTTGTATTTTTGCTCCTTGCACCCTGCAGCAGCAACAAACAAACAAACAAACAGCATTACCGGGGTCAATGTCACAGTCTGATTAAAGTAATTCCAATGATTCTATGATCATCTCCTCCCAAACAAATCTGGAATGTGGAAAGCAAGAAAGCAAAGGAAAATCCCAACTGTCACTCAGCATTTCTACTATGAGATCACAAGCTATGCACAATACTGACAGCCAATTCCCAATAAATTTAAACTATATTTGCCATCCATAAGTACTGTGCCCATAATGCAATCAGTGGCATGTCAGATGGAATCACTTCTCCCAACCAGGTCATGACCAAATAAAAAAAAAGATTAAAAAAAAAAAGAAAAAATGTTTCAGATAAGCCTCAGTTTCATAAAATACACCTTATGTATGTAAGAACAGTTGAAACTAAAATAAAGAGGGCTCAAAAATGTCAACACCAAGCAAGCAGAGAGAACAAAGCAACATACATGCATGAGCAGGTAAGAGAAGGGTTGGAAGAGAACCAAATAAAGTATGCACATCCATCTGGGAAACACTTGGAAAAGAGAAATGCACAGTATGAAAACCAGTGCTGACAAGAAACTCTTAGGGAACTGCCAAGCAGGCCAAAATATTGTTCTGACTGGCAGCTACAGGCAGAAAACTTACAAACCACTGGAATTATACGGGATGTCTTCCCCTCCACCACAATTCTGTATTTTTGTTGTTTAGATGCTGCCATATGCTCTCCTGTCCATGAAGAATGCAAAGGCTTCAGCAGCCTCTATGCTTGGTTTTGAGCTTTTAATTAGTCAACAGTTAGTCCCGGTCTTCACCAAACCAACCGTCAGGGCTGGACTACACTGGACTGAAATTAATGCAATGGTGCTCTCAAAAACATAATAAAACCACTTGGATTCAACTCAGCTTGAAGACCAGGCCCTCATAATTTGTGGTATCAGTCAAACGTGAATTGTCAAGAGTCTTAAATGTGACAGCCTGACAGATTAATTTGTATGCAAAAAAATTCCCCAAAAGTACTCTCTCTAATGCTAAGCTGCCACAAGCATTTACAAAAGATTAATGACTTCATTCAGTGTTTACATTTAAAAATAAAAAGTTTTATTTATAGGGCAATCAAATTTTCTAGTGGTAAGACTAGATTCACTTGTGTGGAAAGGAGAGCACATACTAGATATTTTGACAGATGGAAAGAGAACCAGACTACCTAGTATTATAGGGTTTTTTTCCTCCTCTTTCCTATCTTGTTTTCCTCCTTGACTAAGTATCACACAGGAATGTTTCCATCACTCTTTTATCCCCAGACCAAGCACCTATTCTTTCTAACCACTTGAAAGTTGTCCTCCATGCCCTGCTGTAAACTGTCCCTGCCTCAGCTGAAAAGAAGAAATGCAAGTGTCAGACACCACCTGTCTCCACAGATTACCATCTGCATGTGTCATTCAGCGGTTAGTTTTGGCTGGTGAATGCATCTGGTAATTGATATTTTTATCTTAGATCAGTAAAATAAAAAATTCCACCTCACTAACCCCCTAAGTAAGCACTTCTAACCCCTCAAGCAATGGCAAGACTGTTTCAACAGCCCATTTGACACACCTTCCAATCACAGCAAAAAGATCTCTTATTAAACAAAAACGATAGCTTGCAAAGTTTACCATTTAACTGCCTTAGTACAACAGCAGCCAATTGGCTGCCCGTGAGATCACTGCAGTCCAGGTTTAACCCAGCTCTGCAAGTGCCTCATGGAGAGAAGGGACTCCATGAGTGCCGACCGTGCAACAGGCTGGCTGATGGTTTCCTCAGGACAGTATTCCTGGAGCATGCAAGAAAAGAGGAGGAAAGTGTGCTAGATTCAGAAAAAGGGACAGAATGCATCTGCTAGGGGAAGGGAGATGAAGAGCCCAGAGGGACACTTAACCCAGGCTATTGCGTCAATGTGAACACAAGACAGATATTTGTACTTAAACTCTGTTATACCTTGAAGAGGTGATGGGGCAGGGGAGGTCTGAAATCTACTTGCTCAACACAGAGAAGTCAAAAGTAGTACATTTCCCAATTCCTACAACTGCATAAGAAAATCAGCAGAAAATTACATCAGCAGGAACAACTAGTATGTGTAAATGATACCCCTTATTTCCTAAGAACTACACCCTAAGTAGATTACATGGGAACTCACGTAGGTTTTAACTGTTTTCTTCTTTCGGGTGTTGTCTTTAACACTTCTTGGCACCTTACTGCATTCCATTTCAGCAGAACATCATTTTTAATGTATCATGATATAGTTTTTGTTGAGACAAGCAAAAATGTCTCTTTCACACAGAAAACAGAAACAGCTTTTGGTTTTTGAAATTAAAAAAACATAGAAAGATAAAAATATATACAAAAATATTTCAGCATATTTGTACAGCAAGTATTGAGAAAAGCGAGAAAATACAGACTGTTGTACCCAGGTAAACTGTTAGTCATCATTCTGTCCTCTAAGACTGATGGTCTTAAAAAAAAACTGGTTTTAACTAGTTAAATTACTTTAAAAAAACAACTAGTTCTGGCTGTACAGATTCTTACAGAAAATAACTAATTTTGATCCAGAGTTGTTTTTAGAAACCTAAGTATCAGAAGGAAAAAAAAACCCATGACCTGTCTGATGCCTGCCTATCTGGACTGCCCTATATCTCTCCCAAAACCCATTCTTCCTTACCTAACTTTCCCTTTCCTGTTCAACTAGTTTCTTTCCCAGTCATTCCAAAGTTCCTTACTTCAGACACTTGAGGGAAGGGTTTTGAATAGGTATGATTTTGCTCAAGGGTTACAACCCTTAATGCTCAGCTTGGAAGGTTCAGATAATTTGAGGCAGAAGTGGAGTAGCCTCTACAGACTGCAATTTGCCATCACCATGCATGACAAGAGATATGCTAAAGCTTACAGTTACTTTGCTAGTTTTTTATAGTAGAATGCTTTAAAAAAATCTAAAAGCACTAGAGGTAGCATTTGAGGGCTGTTGACTCTTTGTCATAAAGAAGTTCTGAGTCCAGAAGAAAGAGAGAAGAAAAAGCAGCTATCATTTCCTTTTTTTCTGTCTGCTCATTTACAATCTGGCAGGGATTCTCATCAGCCATCAACTGAACATATACCTGAGGACTAACAAGAATGAAAATCATAAGCTGCAGTCTGGCAGTAGTGTGAACAAAAGGCAATGTTTAAAAGGAAAAAAGCAAATAAAAGAAAAAAAGAGGAGAAAAAGGAGAAGCTAAATATGTACTGTCATTAAATATATCCAGAAATAACTGGAGTGGGACTTCCTTATCAAATAAATAGCCATGTTATAAGCATTCCCAATGTAACACTTGCTATAAGATATTTGCCAATTAAAACAACAAACCAGATGCCAGCAGCATCTGGACACCAAAGAGAAAGTGGAACTTCTCCAATATAAATTAACATGCCACATAGCAAAAGAGGAATGCAATGTCCAGCATAAACACAGAGTGCCTGCAGTCTCTTGACAGTGTCCTTCCCTCCTGTTCTACTGGAAAGGGAATCACAAACATCATGGATGTTCAGCAGGTTTTACACAGAGGAATCTCACTGATGTCAGACACATTCTCTGATAAACCAGTTATGGGACACATTCACCTGCAAAACTATGCCATGATAAATATGAACCACAGGCTTTGTCAAGTTTAGGGAATCATTCATTTGAAGCTAAGTTGGATCAAATAATTGATGTAACTTTCTTAGTAAATCAGCAATACTCTGGGTGGATTTCAATTGGACTGATGAGTGAAGATTAATTCCACTCTCAGCATTTGTTCATCTGTAGGAACACAAAGCAAGGCTGCACCTAATGGACACATCAATAGCAAAAGTCTGTGCAAGTTCAAGTATCAGGGTGAAAGATTCACTGATCACCTAAAATTTGGAACACAAATCCCTGACCACATAATGGACACACTGTAGCCCAGGTCACAATACTGAAAAACTGTCTAACAACACCAAGGACAGTTACAGAGACTGTAGCTAAGGCAGAATACAAAGTCAGCACAAAGTGTGCACCTGTACTGCAAAGAAAATGACAACAGCTTCTCCTTGCATACCAACTTTACCAAATGACATCTCTGACACCAGTTTTGAACACTGCTGGAAGCACAAGGTCAAATCACCTATGCAGACTGCATACTACCCTGATGAGTCCTGAAATCTCACCTGACTAGTTAATTTATCACAAGTTTTTGGCTCACAGAAGCATCTCAGCTCAAGTCCACAAGGGCATCCCAGCAATGTGTAATCCACAGGATACAACAAAACAAAAGCTGTCTTGGTTTCCTTTCTATTTTTTTTTTCATATGCTCTTGTGAATGTCTCCAAATTAGAGGACTATAATCTCTACATGTTTGGACAGACTCCTCACCAGAGCCAGCATATGAAACATTGTGTTTCAAGAACACCTGGGTCCTCTGAAAGACACCACATGTGAATACTTCTCCAAAGATATACAATGACAAGTAGATTACAAACGCTTTCAACTACAGCAGGGAACAACACGTCATGCTGGCCTTGAAAAGAAAATGAAGACCTCTTCAAGCCTTCTTCCTGCCACACAAGGAAGACCATATTCAACAGTCAGGCTCTGACAGTTTTGACTGTAAACCTAGTGGAAACATCCACTTTTCCAGAGAGAAATGTGAAACTTTTGAAACCTGTCACAGAGATTTACTTGGGCAGGAGTGGATTCCAAGTGCTTAAGGCAATGCAGGGGTTCAGACCCCTGAAATTAATAGCAAGCTGCTAGTAATTTTAAGACTGGAGCTGAATATTACTTCTTTCAGCATAGTTTCTACCTCAAAATAACTTCTTTCTTGTCATCAAACAGCCAAAAACCACCTGCAAAAGCAAAAAGGTCAGTTGTCAGCAGCATCTGCAAAGCTAAATTTAACTGAGATTTGGGAAGGTCTAAAATGTTACAAGAAGTGGTTGAACTAGTGAAAACAGTTAATACAGAAACTCGAAAGTGCTTCCCTTAGAAACTACAAACTGAAGCTGCAAAACAGCTGACACAGACTTGGAGGATGTGTGCTCTCTATCCTACAAACGTTGAAAGCTGAAACTCCTCTAACTTTGAGACCTTTTCTGACATCAGGAATATCAAGGACAATTAAAAGTAGATTAGACTGACTAAAGAGACTCTTCCAAAATTATCTTAGTTTTCCATAGCTAGACTGCCATCTGATAAACACCAGTTCAGCATGATTTAACAAACTTCATTTAATTTAACTCTTTAAGAGGGTTTTTGTCTGGAGTAACAAGTAACTGCCACCCTAAAAGCGTAAGTTTCAAAGATGCGTTTCCAGGACAAGAACTATCACTTTTGAATTCTGGTCAAATTCAGTGAAGGATCAACTGAGTAAGAGGTATCAGCAGCAGCCTTTGCATTCCTAGACAAGAACAAGGAGTCCAGGGCTTCAAAGGTCTTCTGAAATCAGTACATTACATTAAATTCCTCATTTTCCCTTTATTCCCTAATTAAGCTATGCTTTCCCTACATACAAGCACACAAGGATGCATCTCTCACCAGGCAAGGTGAGGAGAGCTGCTGAAGAGCCCAGTGTAAGAAGAAACTGCTTTCCAGAACACGAAGATCCTCCTGTTTTCTCTCTCCTCCCCAAATCCCCAAGATCACGATGAAAAAGGTGCTCTCACATTTCACCATTTAAGTATGTTTGGGAAGCTTATAGCCTGCACATCTGTTTGCCTAATTGTATCAAAAGCCTGCTAGGACTGAAATGTACATTTGCCTTTGCTCATTTTCATTTTCTGTAGTTCTATTAAACCACAGTCCAGAGATGTCTCCAGCAGGAATTATGTGAAGCAGCTCTGGAGGCTACACTGCCCAAGGAAACAAGAGCTGCTCAGCCTCACTGGCATTCTACCCCTCTTTCCACAGGCTACTAGAAACATGGTTTTCAACAAGATACCATGCTCCTCACAGCACAGACAAATGCAGTTTTGAACAATTTCAGATTCTGCATGAAATGTCTTTGCATCAGTCAGTATTTATAAGCAGTTAAGACAGAATACTTGACTTGCCAGCAGGAGCTGTAAATAAGAATTGATGTTGCAAGACAATGATTTTTGATAAAAGTCTACTGGCACATACTCTTTCTCCTGAATAGTTCCTCTTTGAGGCATGATTCTATATCTACTAAACAGTACCTAAATGGGCATCAAGCTACAGTAAATCTAAAAAGCCTTACTTAGTCATTGTATCTTGAATGAATCACAGAGCCAAGGGAGAGGAAACATAGTGCAGGACTGTGTGGGGACTGCTGCACAGCAGAAGAACCAGTGCACCACACACTGGCTGCAAAGCTATGAGAACCCAGACAGTTAGGGCTGTTCTTTCACATCAGATGGGTAGCTACAGTTTTGCAATATGACTGGCCAAACAGACAGGAGAAGATAAGGACTGGAACACACACCCGCCCACCCACATATAATGGCCTTAAAACATAGTTTGGCTCATTTTTTTTCTATCACATTCTTTTACTAAGTTTTAGATGAGCCTATGCCAGGCAAAGCACAGCAAAAATTGTTATATTTTGGAAAAGACACTTGAATAAACAAATCTTGTTTCAAAATAAAAGCCTGAGCAGATCTTCCATGTTTTCTAGGCTTCTATCAGCCTTAACTTCAGTGCTGGATACTGCTGAACCATTAGCTAGCAGATGTGGTTTTTCTCCCTCTGGGCTCCCCAGCTGAGTACAGAAAACAACATAACCCCAGTTCTAAAAAGCAGATCCTCAGTATAATTTCTGCCCTAACATACTTGGGATTTTTGAAGTTCTGTATATAAAGCAAAGATTATCCACAGTCAGAGAATAATGAATATTTCATTAAGGGAGGTTTTACTGCAAATATTTCCGAACAAAATAGCAAAAAAGATAACACATCTACACTGCAAAATTCATAACAAACCTTTGAAAGACTGGCATAAGTGTATGCCTTTGAGAACATCTTGATCAATAAAGGAATTCTGACATTTCTGGCCCATTCAAAGAGGAGAATATTAAATCTCTTTAAGTCTTCTCCTAAAAGACTTGCATTTGAAGATACATCAACTATATTCAGTGACAGCAAGTTCACTTTGCAGAAAAGTGATGTTGGAAAGGAAATAGAGGAAATAGTCAAAAAAAAAACAACAAGAAAAAAAACTTAACAGTACCTCAGATCCAGTAGTCTTTGACCTCTTTGCAGGAATTTCTTTATCCTATAGGGAAAGAGTGAAGTAAAGAAGTATATAAAGAACACTAGAAAGCAACAGCATATTCACATAAATACAGGCAACAGTACTTTGCAATGCAATTGAAACAACCCTTTGTGAGCACAAAGGCCTAAATTGTAACTTTTAAAAGTAAGTACTCAGTTTTGTTTCACTGTGAAATTCTAACCTTTGAGACATTAACAAAGGAAGATAAAAAATGTACAAGGACACATGTACTTTCTCCCAGCTACCAAAAAATTTAAGCAGCAATTTAGGCCTGTACTCAACTGGTTAAAAACAGTTATCCTTCTGTACAGCTGAAGAAGACAAAAACCAATCCAAAATAAACAAAATCAGTACCAAAAAAAGGCTGGATTTATCCATCTCAAAGTCCATAAATCTTAGACAATGGGATGGAAAGACTCTAGCATACATCCTTAAGTCATCCTCCTGCAAACAAGGCAAAATTAACAGAGACCTTAACCATGACTTCCCTTCTTGCCCACCCTTCAGGCCCTATTTTGGGTAGAATGCTATTTCCCCACTGACAACACCAAAACGAATGTCTCTCCACACTGATCAGACGCTGCTGTACTCTAATTTTATCTACTGGCAAAATCACAGGCTATAAGCTACTCCCACAAACTTTTAACTCTAGGTACAGGGACAGCAAGGCCTCTGGGAACAGGTGATGAAAATGCCCATTGCTTTTCTAGCAACAGCATGGACCGAACATGGCATCTTAATAATGATACTCTGAACGGCCTGCCTCTCCCACTGACAAGCACTGGGGTCTGCTGATCAAAAAGGCTTCATTCAGATTTCCAGTCTCTCAGATTTAATAATTTAAGAGATTGGTTCATCAGTTCAGGAGTCTCCATCTGAACATATTCAAACTACTGACCTTCTGCACCACTCATATCACCCATAGGGATTCAGCAACAAAACAAGAAAACGACTAAAACTCCCCCAGCCTGTTTGTGTCACAAGCACCCTGTGATAAGCAAGCCTCAGCCTAAACCAAAGACTGGCAGCTCTCCCATCAGTGACAGACTAAACAGCCGTTTCATTATTGCTGTAATGAAACCCCAGGGAGGGCGGCTAACAAGACGTGACAGTGCTCAGCTGCACCTCGCGCACTGCGAGCCTCCAAAGGTGTGATTGCCACTCCTCCCCTGGGCATTGCTCCTGCCTTCCCATCCTAATGCTCCTTTGGGGAATTACAGACACACAACATAAGTTATGCAAGTGTGTGCTGTACAGCCATGACTAAGAAATGTACACTTCTAATGGCAGGTGTAGAAAACTGCTAATTCAATAAGAGAAACAGCAGAAAATTAATTCAAGCACAAACCTAAACACAGAGAATTATCACAAGATACAGTACGGGTTCTCCTGCCCTCAATCACTTAGAGACTTAAAGAGACACCTAGGCTTGTATAAACAGCAATCATTATGTTTCACTGCAAGTTACTAAACTTAGCAGAGAAAATTTGGTGTAGTCATTGTGCCTGCATTACATAAGGCATCTGTCTCAGAGTGGCCCTTTCTGGCATTATACATTTCTCTGTTGATTACCAAAAAAAAAGCTTTTAAAACCTACACTTTTATCTAAAGAACACTAACAAAACTATTAGCATTGTGAAATTAACCATGTTTCAAGGCTTAAAAACATACCTCTTTAGGTCCAGCAAACAAGGGAATGTCATGGAATGGGGAAATATATTTACCATCTGCATTCTCTGAAAGACAAAACGAAGTAGCATTGCAAACCTAAAGATATGGCATAAGACGTTTGTGTTGCTAAACACCACACAATACAGAAATGTATATATGCTATGACTGTGCATTGGTTAAACTTTTTCTGAAGTTCAAGTTCAAGCATGTACCAACATGGAGGCCAAAGAATTTGAGTGTTTTGACAAGGAATTATTAGAATCAAAGTTATTGCTTTAGAATTCAACACTATGCTTCTCTTTTACCTGGCAATACAAGCTATACAAGGATGAGAAGATTCTTTCATTCTTTTCTACTCCCTGGCCATACACAACCATTAACAAATTAAAAAAAAAACCAAAGGAACCTCATTTCCATCAGTGGTAAGTGAATTCATCTGGGTTTCTAGCAATGTTGCCTCTGTGATTGCACTGTATTTCTAATAAACAGAGTTTCATGATCACAACCCCCCAACATAATAGGCCAAATTCTGATCAAGAGTAAGTGAGGGATGGGATAATTGCTCTAAGCCATCGATATGAAACACACCTTGAAACCAGCAGAAATTGATCTTAACTTAGTGGGGGCCCAATCTGCACCTCAGCCTTGCCCCCACTCTAGAAAGAAACTAATTTCACGGGAGTGTATGTTTAAGTTTTTCAAGTCCACATATCACATCAAGAGAGTGCAAACACTAACTCAAATCCCAAGGAATTTCTCCTCTGCTAGCACCCCTGTTCATAGCAAAGGAAAAAGCAGACAAGGCACTTCACTTAGCTCTGGACTTTTGACCACTTCAGCAAAGAAGAGTAAATGGAGCTGATATGCGATTCCTGGAAACCTCCCAGATGTTCCTCCCGAAACCAAAATTTAGTGGTAAGCTCTTTATTAAATTTTGTTTATAAAACAAAATTCAGTGGTAAGCTGTTTATTCCCACCAAATAAAGTGACTTTCTGTAGACGATCTCCTGCACTGGCAGCCCCATGAATGAGCACAAGGGAGCTCTGGCAGTGCTGCCAAGCGGGCACACGCTGCCTCCGCTTCTCCCACACCAGCAGACGTCAGAGTTGACTGTAGGTCAATGGACCAGAAACGTACAAACCCACTGCGATAGGACTGGCACACCAACAAGACAACACTGTTACGAAAATGCGTAATACTAAGCACGGCACACTCTCAGCTCTCGCTGGGTCTTGAGACGCCTCCTGGAGCCCTGCCCGTGCCCTCGCACTGCCGCTCGCCAGCCCCGCTCGGCGCTGGAGCCCCACGATCTGGATGCCAGCCTCCCGCCTCGGTGACGTGTCTGGTGG